TGCTTCATGATGGTTCATTGTGCTTCGAAGCATGTTTTTTTCTTGACATTTGGTGTCTGACTGGTTGTCCGTTGAGTTGTGGACGGGTGTCCTTCCTGTCCAATCTGTACAGGGCGGTGCAAAGTGAGCAGTTGATCACTTGATTGGCAGCTGTGCCTTGGCTCGGTGGAACAAGGGAACCGATGGCACCGGGCACATGCAGCATGTGTAGCTGAAACCAGATGCCGATTGCAGGCTGATTGCAGGTTGTAGACCTTGCACATGTTAGGCACTCTGAGAGTTGTGAATGACGCTGAATACCATCGACACCGTCAATTTTGAGGCTCTTGCACTCTGGTCCACATAGTTTCCGTTGCGGATGTGTCTGGGTGTTTTTCACACTGCATTTGTTTCATACCATGGAGGCGACCATGCATGACCATACCATGGGGTGGATGTACTGGGCTTCCAGGTTCCGAGCTGGCATCGCATGTATACATTCACACTTGCTTTTAGCTTGCACACACACATTATATTCACACATTATATATATATATATATGGTATATATAGATACATACCGCTAAATACATACATATATATATATAAGCATATTCACGTTTGTTCTATATGTCTCATGATTGGAGACCCCCTTGCAGAAATGACTGCAAGCAAAAGTCCCGCAGTTTCACCGAGGTCCGGCCCAGCACAGATGGCTTCCCGACACAGGACTGGCCTCAGGACCGCGACTGGGCAGTTCGGTTATGAGTTGTGACTGGATGTTCATGATGGATCGATGAGACAATGATGATAAGGATAAGGGGCATTAAGTGGCTGGATGATGATGGAAATGGACAATGACAATGGATGGTCCTGATGGTGATGAGGATGATGATGATGATGAGGAGGAGGAGTTGGCGGCGGAGGAGGAGGTGGAGGAGCACTACGATGAATGATGAATGATGAATATGATGAATATTATGAATATGAGGATGATGATGAGAAGGATGATGAGGAGGATGAGCAGGATGAGGAGGATGAGGAGGATGAGGATGAGTAATTTGGATGAGGACATATGAGGACTTATGATGATGATCATTATTATTATGATATTGTGAAGACTTCCATTGATGTCTTCGATATGTTTAAGATGTTTTCAAGATATCTTCGCTTTGATTTCGAGCGCTTGATGACAAAACGTAAAGTTGAGACAAGTGGGCAATTCAATCGCAGAAAGAAATATGAGAACTGTTCAAAACTGGTATGATTGAACTGATGAAATGTCAAGGAACTTCGTAAAATTGCATGAAATACAAATCCTGCCACAAGAGGCATGAGAGACCTTCGTAGACGTTCATAGACCATCATAGACCGTCCGGACATTCGCATTCGACTGCAGGCTAGGACAGCACCAGGGCCTCTCAGGTGCAAGATGGGATCTGATGGGAAGATGGTGGGAACATGGGAAGAGCACTAGCAAATTCCGATCTATTTCGATGAACATCGACTGTTTTCAGGTGTTTTCTCATTTAAGTTCTTGGACTCCAAATGGTTTGAAGTTGTTATTTTTCCAGTTCATTTGGGTTCACTTAAGGTGTCGATTAACGCTTTCATCAAGCTGACTCAGGGTGATGCCGATAACCAAGATCCACATGCTACAGTCCATACTGGTCGGTGGCCCGCAGGAGCACAGAGGATGCAGCTGACGACTAAGAAGCTGCGTTGTGGATCTAGGTGTAGACCTCCCCGGGGAGGATTGAAAGACCTGGCCGGGTTTGGAGGGTGGATGCCACGTGTAGCAGCGTTGTAGCAATGGCGCAGATTGCGTAGTTTGATGCTATGAGTAGGCCACGTCGTATGCAAACAATGTGTATATAGCAATCTATTTCATGTGTAGAGAATTTGAAGATAATTCTTTATTAGCCATGTGTATGCATTTGTAGCCTTTCGTCAGAAGCCTTTCGTCAGAGTTGCGACCTCAAACTTACGGCAACTCAGGTCTACTGTTGTCCGAGATCAATGTATGTTGCATGATGGTGCATGTGCAAGTGTTTTGTGTGGAACACATCCCAATGCTATTGTAAGAGTCTATACCCTCCGAACATTCAAGCACAGTTTGACGTTTTGTGCACGTCGCTTGCCATATTGTTGCCATGCCACTCAAGTGATTCACCTGGATCACCCCTCTTTTTCACTTAACTTGCTTTAGGCATCGGCATTATTCGGCATTCGGTATGGAGTTCTGGTGGCACGGCCATGGCATGATGATTTAATATGCCAGGGTTAAGCACAGCGTATAACCAGGTCCAGGTTGCTGGCCCTTGCACAGGAGGAATGGAGCGGTTTCCAGCTCTAGGTATAGTCGACTTGTGGGTTGTTGACAAGTAAGAAACTGTAATTGAACATGCCATCATACAGTATATAATTGCATGATAAGGTATATCATATGTGAACTAGATCACGTCATGTCAGACGTCAAACGATATTCCGAATGATATTGCTGGAAATGCGATTCTCCCCCTGAAGTTGGGAATGCATCGAGCGTTCTCTGCTATGTCCAAAGTCCAACAGGGCAGTTTGGATTGCACTTGGCTTTGAGATTAGCACTCAACTGATCAACTTGATAACTTGAAATAGAAAGGGCATACTGTATGGCTGTGTTCAGGGGGAGGCCGCCGACGGACTGCCGCATGTGTATATATATAGGTATATATTTGGCAGCGGGTCAAAAGCCAGTACACCCCCTGACTACCATCCCAAATAGACTAAACTAGATGAAAATCATCAATTGGCGCATAGACGCCCAGAGGGTTCCCAATGGTATGGTCACCCCAGAGAGGCAATGTTTTCATGCTATTTACAGCCCTTCGGAGCCCATGCATGCTAATTGCAGCGTTCTTGATACACCACCTGGTTTCGGCAACCCATTTCTGTGCATTCTTTGCTTCTCTACCTCTTGCCGCCTCCAAAATAATCTAAAATACGGTTACAACGCAGTCTTCACAAACTCAACTGGCACGCGCACACGCACACACATACACAGGAACATCATGACATATGCAAAGACACACATGTACTAATGTACTTATATTCATGCATGCATGCACACATCACGAAAGCTAGCTGTAGCTAGCTGGAGTCTGTCTTGCTTTAGCAAGGAGGGTGGGAACCCAGCACCTGAGTGCTAACACCTGATATATCAGCAGCACCAGCAGCACCAGCACCAGCAGCACTAGCACTACCAGCACTACCAGCACTACCAGCACTACCAGCATCAACACCACCAGGGGAGGTGGCAAGACTGGATCATATATTAAAATTTCTAACGACTTTGAAGTGATTGGACTATTTGGAATACGCACCATAAATCACAATCAATCGCCATCATGCCAAGGGAGACTCTGTGAATGTGACTTGTGGCCACCAGGTTCGGTCCGATTATCAGCTTACTATTACGTGAGGCATCAGAAACAGCCATGTGACATCAAAGCTCAAGGCAGGCCACGCAGCCCTCACAATGCAGGGAGCATCCGAATTCGAACCGCTCGTCCCCCCCAAGAACGTTTGAAGTTTGTCGGGCATGACAGCTGCGCTGTCAGAGCGGAACCGTATTACAGGCAAGAAAGTCGAGAAGCACTCTGTCTCTTCTGGTCAATTTCACAGATTCCTCGAAATGGAATATTCAATCTTTGATGCCTCCTTACCTATGCCACATCATTTGTGAAAGTCTTGATAAGTCTTGATGTTTGCACGTTATTTGCTTTGAACTTTTCTCTACAGGCTTCGTCTTACCGTACGAGTCAATTTTTGGAAAATAGATTCAAATAGGCCCGAAAATTCTTCTCGCACATCTCGGGAAATACTTTTGGGGGCATTTTGGACTTCTTGGTCAGTGCAAAATGAGTAGGTGTTCTTGCGGATGGATCTCAACCCCCGAAGACTACTTTAAGTCAAGCTGCATTCTTTTGTTGACCACATTTAGAGACCATCGCCGTGTCTTTCGATACTGTCCCGCACGAAGCTTAAAGCTTCAAGAATCCATGATGTCAACCTGTCGGGTGAGGTCAGTTCTTGGTCGTTGGACTCGTAGTGCTTGGACTGTTTGGAGTTGAGCAATGATAGTCTCCCAGCAGTGGCAGCTCGCAGTTTCTAAAATGGGTAGTTCTTGAAACAGGGGTACCCAAACCTGCTTGGTTTCAATACTAAACTCGACTCAAATAGGACGATTTGGGGTGACCACCATTTGAAGAAGCCCTTAGTTGAGTGGGGGTGTGTTACTGCAATTGGAATGGTGGCTAATAGCTGTATTTCTGTGAGTGGTATGTTCGCAAAGTCATGCCCAAAGAATCCCAAGGAACTATATATATAACTATATATGTATATGTATATGTTTTGAAATATACACTCACAAGACACATGCCAATTTTGAGACTTGACTCAACGTTTGAAAAGGTTTCATCCCCTCAAGATGAGATGACAGGCAGTGCACATGTTCATAATATAATTTCAAGATATTTTGAAGTCATCTCCATCTCCGACATGACTGTCGATCCTTTTGTAAAGATGTGAGGAATCTGCTCGCTTTGAGGCACAGACTTTGTCATTCGCTTTTGTGCTCTCTCAGAACTTGGAGCCGTCAGCATTGGCTCTGGGTCTCAACTGGGTGAGCCGTCCTTGAAGCGGTCAACGGCACCAGTGTGTGGCTTGATGCTTGGCGTCCAGAAGCTTCCACGAAGCGAAGCTGTACCAAGTGTCCAATGTTTTAGCCCTGCATTGAAGGATTTTTCGCGGCTAAAACGGTGCAAAAAGGTCACGTTTTGACGGTTTGGATGATTCTTCTCGGGTATTGTGCCTTTCTTTGGCATGACATAAAGTGGCTGAGGCATTGAAAAGACGAAATCCGAATTGCCAAACAGCTGTTAAAGCATCTAAACCAAACACCCACACTCGGTGAACACTTGTGAACAGGTTTCAACACTCGGAAGACATGTCCCTTGGACGTGTCCCTTGGATTTGGGCCAGGTGAACCATTTTGTCACCAACGACATCCAAACTAGGCAGTACAGATCACCTGAGGCGAGATGGTTTAGATGGGAGGGACCCGAGGTGTTTAGGGTGTCACAAGGGTAGAGACGGATTCGATTCATTCGTCATTCATTAACACGGCTTAAGAACATGTACTGTAATAAGTCATTGACAGGATTGGAAATGACTTGAAATGACTACGAAAAACTATATAAGTCAATCTAAATCAGTACTGAACTTGGTACCAAGTCATTGAGTCCAACTGATTGAGTCTAACTCATTGAAACTCACTTCAACTCATTAGACGCATGGAAAACGGATGGGCACCTGGAGAATGGAGTTGAATATTTTGTTGAAATTCACCTCATCCCTATGGACCCCGTAGCGTGGACTCTCAAGGTAGAGTAAAATAGCCCGCTTACCGGACTAGCAGGGTTAGCTAGAAGTTAGAGCTGACCCTGTAAAATACAGGTTATCAGCCGTATGCTAACTAGAGTAGAGCTATGGACCCGATGGACGATGACGTCGCACCGAACGCCTACGGAAGTGGCTTTGACATTGTTCCAAGTTTACCCAATAGTTTGGATGCAGCCCAACGACATGAGCAGGCAGTTGCTCAGGTGGCAGCAATGGATCCAAGGGTAGCTTCGGAGGTGTACCAACAAATGCTAAACAGTGGTGGCAGTGTTACTCTTCAAGAAGCAACGCAAGCTACCCTAGCAGGTATGCCGTCAGCCACCGTAACAGGTGCGCCAACAGTAAACAACTTGTTGGCAATGACTCGGTTCAACGTCGTCAACATGAATACATCAACAGGAGATGAAGAACTACGACGGGAGTTGCAACAACACAAGTTTTTACTCAGTGAGCATGCCAGGAGGGAAGCAGAACTCGAAGCATTGCGTTTTAGGCAAATATATGAAAGAGAAGCTTCCGAATCCATAGCAGCAACAAAAGTTGCGGCAGAGCAGGCAGTGTTGAATGTTCAACAAAGGGCCCAACAGCAGGAACAAAGTGTTCAGCAATTGGTCCAACAGCAAGACAACGTTGCGATCAAACGATTGCAAGGTACGTTGGAAGAGCAAAGAGAGCATTTTCAACAACGGCTAGCTCAGGCAACAATGGCTCACGAAAAGGTTGCACAAGAGAAGAACGCCTTAACAGAGGAAGGCAATGCATTTGATGCATTTGTTGACAGATTGAGAACTGAACATCGTCAGTATATCGAGCAACAAGAATCTAGGCTTAAGTCGAGAATTCCTTTCTCTTCGCCAGTACGCTGCCGTAATTGGCAATAGCCGCGACGAGGTCAAGATCCAGGGTTCCTACGGATGATGTTTATGGTGACATTCACAACATCAAGATTCCTCGTGGAGACACGATGGCGATTTACAGTATTGTCCGAGAATTTGCATTGTACAATGAGCAATATGCCATCGCTCAGTACCAGCTCAACGCACAGCAGTCGATCAATATGCAGGAACGAGATCGTGGCAAAGGGCTTACCCAGTTTGGTTTTATGAACATTGAGCAGAGGATGTCTACTCCATTGCCAAAATTTGCCGACTGTGGCCAGGATATGACTTCTTATGAAATTTGACGTCTTGAACAACTTTTGTTGGAATTCGGCCAGAGAGATTCACAATCACCTGAAGCGCGTGTAACAAGGCCGCCACTACAACGAAAGCGTTCACAGGCTTATGATTCCGAAGCAGCAGACGTCGACAAGAGACCACGGTTACAATGGAGGAAGAAAGAGGAGCGTGGTGATTCTGGTCGTTTTGCAGCCTGGTTGGATGACAGAGTCTCCACCTGGTGTACCAAAGCCACCAGCTCCCGTAACAGGGACGCATGCGACTTCAGTTTACAGGCCACCTCCTGTTCCTCGAGCTCCAGTTCCTCCAAAAGAAGACTTCCCTAAACGGAATGTCGTATCTGACCCGCCTATTGCTCCCAAGAGCATGCCGCCGGACCTTTGTTCCAGGTACAGCGCAGCAGAATGCCGAATCCATTCGGCAGCCACCAGGTGCAAAACAAGCGCCGCTGCCCGATGTTGCAGGCCGCGGCAGTAGGGACGCCGCGCGGTTCTGTCGGCAGAATGATGCCCTTCTTCTCTGAAGATGAGGCACCCAGGCGGGGCAACGTCCCGAAGGACTTCCTTGGTCCTCCACTCACACCACAACCTCCAGAGGTCAAGCCACAAATTAGGCTCCAGCGTCACCACCTCTTCCAGCACCATCGCACCCACCAATGCCAGGCCTTTCGCCTGTAGCTAAACGTCAACCACCTGTACCACCTCCACCGAAAGTTCCACCAAACTCATCCAGTGGAATTCCAGTGCGCACCAAACCCAGTGACTTTGATCTTACACCAAAGCCGCCTCCTCTCAGCGAGCTCTATACTCGGCTACAACCTTCCGTCAAAGGAAAGGGGACGGGACATCATCGTGAAGGTCCTTATGAGACGAGGCCATGGCATTTTATCCAATGTTCCGCCACCACCTTTGCCATCAGGTGCTCCATCTTCATCGTCTTCTCATGCTCCCATAGCTGGGCAGCCTACAGTACGTGGTACAGACGATCGTCCATTGGAACCTTTTGATTTTCCAGGGGTACAATGGCAGCGCACAGATCCATGGGCTGACAACTATTGGCCCAACCATATGGAACTTCGCAATTGGATGGAGAATGGTTGGCAAGATGATACAGAACGATTTGGGTATAGGCATTATTGAGGACAAGTTTTGAACAGCTACCATAACTGGTATGCATTACAGCCTATGAGTGTTGAGATAAAGTCCACCTTCTGACCCGCAGTGAGATGATGTTTCACCACGTTGTCTCACGCACGAATGCATCCTTTACCGGATTGCCCTAGTCGGAGAGTGAACTTTTAACCAATGCTCTAACTAAAACTGGGTCAAGCATGTGTAGTTACATGCCGAGTGAGCCGGTAGTTTGTACATTAGGGTAGCTACGTTCTCCTTGTATAGTGCATGCACGAGCTTGATGAGGGATTTCTAATATGATTCCTTCGCCGCTAGAATTTGATCCTCCCGAGATTTTCCCTACGGGTAGCTCCTTGTAAAGGGGGGTGTTGAAATTCACCTCATCCCTATGGACCCCGTAGCGTGGACTCTCAAGGTAGAGTAAAATAGCCCGCTTACCGGACTAGCAGGGTTAGCTAGAAGTTAGAGCTGATCCTGTAAAATACACATTTGGAAAGATGTTCAAAAATATATTTCTCTCAAATCCAACCAGGGTTGGAAATGGTTCGGACAGAAATGGTTCGGACATTTGGACATCCTTTGGAAATTGGTTCGGAAAAGTGACTTTGACAGAAGGGACAGAAGATGACAGAAGTACCATTTGACAGCAAGATTTGAGAAGCGCAGTGGAAGTGAGGAATGAAGCAGATTGTTGGGCCCAAGTCAGCGCTTTGTCTTTCAAGTTGTTGCGCTGCGTGAGCTGGCCACTGTGATTTCCTTTTTGATCCCAAGAAGGAAAGGGTGATGTGACGAGATTAGCAAAAACGACTGTCACGACACGTCACGTGCAAACATGCTGCAACGGTGACAGAGTGCTATCTTTTTTCAGGAGAAGTGTTGCTTTTTGTTTGTTTTTTTCTTCCTCTGATTTGTTTAACTGTTCTTAATCATTTAAGCCATTTGAATGTCGCAAAGTTCGGCTTCACAAACAACAGCATTTTTACCGCTTAGAGGCGTTTGAATTTCCCCCCTCGTGCAGCACATCAACACCTGACGTTTGCCTCAAAATATCCCCCGGAACTTCCACCGGATCAAATCTGAGAAACATTAAAGTTCAAAGCGCTTCTCATACAGACCTTGTATGTGATGTGAGTTGTATATTCATATTTCGACATTACGGAAGATGAATTTGCCCCGTTTGATGTCCTTCGCTGATTGTTGCGAAGATGGCCTGCACAGGAATACGGCCGTGACGTGCCGTGACGAAGATCATTTGGCGCTCATCGCAGAATTGCCGAGCGATTTGCCCGATAAGGAAGCTGGGTACACATAGGACATAGGAAACCAAAACGTACGTCCTTTCAGACTGATGGCGACAAGTTTGTGCTGTCTATAGTTCATGTTCATGCACAGTCCTTTTCTTCTTGTCCCTGCTCCGGCAGATCTTTGCATGTTCGATCCGTTTTGCCCCTTGGTCTCCGGCCGTTAGGGGAAGTTGCCGTTGGGCGTCTCTGTGAGACGACTCCGGGACAAGTCATGCTCGCAGGAGAGAGAGAGAGAGAGAGTTAGAGTTCATGTTCATGCTGTCTTGAAAGCAGGTGAGCTGGGAATATTGTGCGATTATGCGATTGTGTTGGTCACTGCACACACACAAACTCGTGGATCCAAAAGTGTGAAGCGTGAGGAGTTCTGCTTGTTTGGGAAGTACTCCAAGGACGTTACGAATATGCCCGTTGCATACGGTGTTTGGCTGTGTTTTCGAGGACTACTTCAACAACTCTGGCAAGCTGAACCCCTCAAATCCCTGAAGTGGGGCTCTGAGAGCGCAGGTTGATTTCTTTCAGATGGAGCAACGAATGCCCAGTGCAGGATGGGGCCCCTATTCGGGGTTCTTCAGCGAGAAGCATTCCTTCTCTGAAGAAGAGGCCCAAGAGGCTTGTTGCGAGTTGCCATCGAGGTCAACTTAGACTTCCAAAATTCTTTGGGAATCGTTTCACTGGGAATCGTTTCACCTGTAGTAACAAGAAGCTTTCTCGTATGTTTTTGGAATTTTCTTAGTAAAAAAGCTTTCTCGTAACTAGAAGCTTGCTTGGGAATCGTTTCGCTGGGAATCGTATCACCTTAAATTTCTTTGGTGTGCATAAATAACTTTGCCTCGAGTGACCCCCACCATGACATGTCAATCAGTTGTTTTCATGCCATGGTGAGGAGCATGTTGCCATGGTCATGGGTTTTGTGCTTTTCGATTTTGCTTGTGGGTCCTCGGGTTTGGGATTGCTGTTTTAGTGTTGGGGAGCTCAGTTCGTGTTGGGGTGTCGCCAGGGTCTCCATTTGGCATCCAAAAGTGCTACCCTGTGCTCACCTGCCACGCAAAAAAAGTGCCACACACACAGGTAATTCCCCACATCTTAGTGTGGGGTTCTTCTTTTCTATGTCTCATCCCGCTTCTCCCGCTCCTCCGCTCCTCCCACTCTCCCGCTCCTCCCACACACCACTCATCTCACACACCACTCATCACACACCACTCATCTC